GGACAATTAATCCTTAGTGTGATCCTTTTCATTGGGCATATCCCAATGCCTGTTCCAACAGTAATTTTGCCATGTGAAGATGTCTTTTTCTTATATGTTCTTGTCTGTCCCTCATGACTCCTTTGGACTTGTTTTCTTTCTAATCTTCACTAAGATTATTAAAACCAGATATTGGAAAAATTATGTTTCTGGATTAGAGTCCCTTAGAATATGACAGCCAGCAGGACCACTGGTCATGCTCACTAGGGTATTCTGGAAGCTCTAACTCCAAAATGCAAGTTTTCCTGTATCTGATTAAGGCTTACATCAGTGTCAGCCTTTCATGTTTCATGATGAGCAAAGCTCATTATTACAGAGGATTTGAAACCTCTAAGTGTTTGAGTACCAAAGTTAGTAAGAAATCCTGGTGGGCAATAACCATAGGAAAGGGATTTGGAATGTTACTGAACACCCTAAGTCCTTGATTAAGCCATAATTAGAATTTATCATTGCCTGGTTCTATGAGTCACCATCTGACAGTGTCTATGCAAGGTTGATAATGTCATCATCTGCAGCCTTTTATCACTAATTAGACATTTCCAATTCCTTCTCAAGGTTCTGAGTCTCCCTAGGGATCCCATTCATCCAAAGGGGAAACCTTGGGGGCGGGGCAGTTTGGAACAGGGGGTGGTCTTTAATGTCTGGAAATTGCTGGCAGTCCTGGTTTCCATTCAGTGTGTCTTCCCTTCTCCCTTAAAGAGCCAGTGCCCCTACTGTTTTGCATATACTGTACAAAAATTGTGTTTGACATTTCTTTAAGTGACAGGAATAAATCCCATCGTGCTACCATATTACTGCAATGATTAGGTACTTGTCATTTTCTGATTCACATGCTATTGATAGCTGTTTACCCAGATAAATGAATGAGGGGTACTGTTTTCTACTATACACATCTCCCCCTTCTTGCTTTTTCTCTCTATGTTATGTGTTGAGAAGAGGTAGTAGGATATTTGAGGCCTTTAAACATCATTAATGTGCAACTGTGTGAATGACTTTCCAGAAGTAAATGCATAGTTGCTTTGGCACTGGTCTAGATTGTGACCTTGTTGTGAAACAAAGGGAGGCTTTAACCCTTTGCTCCCTTTTGAAGTTCTTGACTGGATATTCTTGCTGCCCTGCAGTGCTATTTCCATCTGGAAAACCGTGTGCCAATTCCATTGACACAAATGGAAACTTGTTGCCCAATGCGGATAGGTGTGAGAGACCCAGTTGGGGGTGGGGCCATTTCAGGAGGGCCCTTATCCCCAATAGCTGCTCTGCTTCCCCCACACACACACATCAACTATTTACTTTATAAAAATCTATTCATTATGGGAATTATGTCATACCTAGTCTCAACTAGTTTGGGTATGTTGGTTTATTTAAATAATGTAAGAAGTGTGCTTCGGTGGGAGCCCTTTGGAGGGCTCCAGTACGAGAGGGATCATTTATTTGTCCCTGAGCTATGTGTTCAACTAGGTCATTGCCGAGTCCTGTGGCCAGTCCTCATTGTGCATTGCAGTGGCTGTTGCAGTGAGTATTACGATGTCACAATGTTTTGATCTTGCTTGTACTCAAAAAGATATTGTCCTGGAAAGAGGCAAGTGTTCCTTCATACATGAGACTGCCTGTTGGTTTGCCTAATATATGTGTGTGAATCCACAGGTGTATTCATAAAATTTGCTATCCCTCTGCCTCATTCAAGTTTATGAACGGCAGGCAGAAGTAAAGTTCATTTTGTGAATTAAATGGAAAATTAATGAAACATAGGCCCTGAGTGCTATATGATTTCAGCAGTATTGTATGTTCCTCTTGAACATAATAGAATACACACACACATACACACTCACACTACTATATGTATGTATATACATACATACGAACATGTGTATTTGTGTATAAACACATCCCTAAAACAACAGTAGTTAAAGACAGGTGTCTGTAAGATCCAATATAAGTTTTGCCAGAATTTTATGAGTAAGAGGTTACACATATGTGGCTAAGAGTCGCTACAGGATATTAATAATATAGTTAGTTTGTGTATGTAATTTTTTATGGAAGTGGTAAATTAGTGAAGGGAATATTTGAACGAAATAGGGAAATCTAGGATTTGGAGAAATAAGGATTCATGCTGATAGATTTCTTGGCTGGTTTCTTGTAAAAACAACATTATTGAAAAGGTATTTAACCACATATTCTATAAACTATAGAACTGGTGTGACTGGAAATATTCCTAAGGAACATCTGAACTGTTTTTACATGTGCTGCCTTTCATCAAGGAACTGCTGTATTTGCCTTTCCTTCTTGAGTAGCTTTTGTAGGTGAATGTGGGATTTCAGAAAGTGACTTCTGAATAACTAGGGGTTCACCCATTCACTTTAATGACAGAGATGCTTCTGCACATTGAAAAGAACTGTGCACATAGAACATAAGGGGAATGGAGTAGGGTCTGCTGTGTATACAGTGTACATAATATATATATTTTGTGTGTGAAAGATATTGAAGAAAAGAAATTCTATTCATGTGTTCACTATCTCTAGAATGCGCAATAGGCATACTGACTAAGCTAACTGTAATGAAAGGCTGAGCAGAAAACCTTCTATTAATTTGAAAACTATTTCAGCCACATTCCTTAAGTGAACATTTTTAAGACTAAAAATCATAGCCTCAACTAGAGTAAATTCACTGAATCAGTTTAAGTTGTGTAAGTGTTGACTTACCATTTAACAGGTGATTCAATTGTACTATCGCTGGAATTACTAACAGGATTTGGATCATGGTGTCTAGGCTGTTTTGTCCAGACTAAAGCCCTTTCAGATATCCTTAACCATGTAGAATACCATATAGAATAACTTTACTATGTACATAGAAAACTTCCACATGTAGAGGAGACCTTCTGCTTCAGACCTGTTAGTTTCTACATGAAGAAAGCAATGAGAGGTGTGACTATAGCATGCTTGACTCTTTGTGTGTTGGATCAACGTGGTAAATAATGTATGAATAGCACTTAACAGGATTGAATTGTTACACTTAGTCCCTACTGAAATGGATGGGGCTAAAGCTGGATCTAACTTAGCCCATTTCCATCCTTTATTTGGATATCTTGAAAAGTTATGCTTTCTCACAACAGGAATGAGTTTACTCCACCAACTTACACACCCTTCGTGCCATGTCTCCTCCTCCCATCATGGCACCAGGATGTCAGAAGATTTAGCTTCCATCTGAACTTAAATGTATTAGTTGTGGGGGAGGCTTCTACCATCCAAATCCTAAACCACTGGTTCTTAACCTTGGGTTACTCAGGTGTGTTTGGACTGCAACTCCCAGAAGCCTTCACTATCAGCTGTGCTGGCTGGGGTTTCTGGGAGTTGCAGTTCAAAAACATCCGAGTAACAAAGGTTAAGAACCACTGTCCTAAACTTTGGCTAAGTGTAAATGTAGCTTACTGAAACAATCCAACTTCAATCACTCTGGGTTTGAAGTTGACTTATTTCAAAATATTTTCCCTTTACTGTGCTCTTACTTTCATAGCCATTTATGCTGGGATTAAGCAGAGGAAAGTCAGAGCCCTCTGATGTTTTTCAAGTCATTTGTGATTCCCTTTCAGTTTACATTAACTCCATATTTATTTCCTGATCATGTTAACAAAGTAGAAATTGAAGTGAGTTCAGAAGTTATTTATTATTCCAGCCATTTGACCATGGATCATGTAAGGAGGCCAAAATAGTGAGCTTTGGCCTCACAACTGTAAATAACCCAAGAAACAAAATTATTTTGGTAACTCTCCCAGGTCTGAGGTTAGGCAGGTTAGAAGAAAAGGGAGGGAAAATATGCCACCAGCACTCGGAAATTTCTCTGTAGAAAATGCCCTGGAAAGCCTAAAAAAGAGACTTAAATTATTGCCAAAATCTCCTTTATCCTGAGTAATCAGTACATCACAGATCATGATGGGCAAAAGATTTTCTTTTTCTCACACACCCATTTTTTATATAAAAAACTTATTTCTGTCCAATTTGCTAAGTTTGGAAAGCTCTTATACAAGGAAACAAAACAATTTTTTTCCTCCGCTGGCCAAATTCATCCTACTAAGAACGATATCATTTTGTACACATATACCACATAGATGTCATGTATTGCTTGCCTACCATGAAAACAGAGGTGGAAACCCTGGTTCAGCACCACAAATGTGACTAAATATACAGGAATACGAAGCCAAATTTTACAATCTAAACGCTCAGTGCTGTCCACTTGAATGGGTTTTGTTTTCTCACACATTGAGTGTTGGGTTTTTTTTTTCCTATCAAATATATGGACAAATTTACAAGTTTAAGTCTGTGAGCGGTGGAAAGTTGTTTTTTTTTCCAGACTCAAACCATTCAAAATTCTCAGCTATCCTAATAGGAAGAGGAAAAATGCTGTTTGGATTACAGCTTCCAGAATCCTGGGAGTTCTGGGACCCATTGTTGACACAGGAAACTTTATCCATATCTGCCCTAATCCTAGATACTTTTGTTGATTTGTCTTGGAAACAAAATTAGATTGGAATGCCACCTCCTGGTCCAGGTGGTGACATACATAAATGTTGGCCTATACCCAACCCTCCACAGTCAGTGTGTGTCTGCACCTTTTTAGGAACATTTACCCCACACTTTGAAAAAAAATGTTTTTTAAAGGGTAAAATGGTATGTGAACAATGAATGTGGGCAGTTAATTTGAGGACTGTGTCAGCTCTTTGCATTAAATGGGAACAGCTATCATTGGACCTAAGCAATTGTCAGTTTGGGCTTCATGTGTCTCAAAATGGAGACTCTCCAGCACTGCAATTGGCAGCTGTCGTGGCCATGGCCCTTCTCTTCCTCGTGCTGGTAATTTTTGTCCTCGGTGTCTTGCTGTTTGCAAAGTGCCTCCTGCTCAAAGCTGTCAGTGCCTGTGGGTGCCAAACTGTACTTCAAACACTTTCTTTCCCTTCCCTTCCTCGGCAGGATTTATGTGGGCATCATTCATGTGATACTCTGGGAATGGCTGACGTTGGAACCATATGCTCTCCTGAGCGCAGCTGTGCAGTGATTGAAGATGACGGCCTCCATGCGGCTTTTACAGTGGCTCACGAAATTGGTATGCAGTGCCTTTTTTGTTCCCTTGCCAAATACAACACTTGTAACAGCTGCATTAGTAACCAAAATACTTTACAAGTAATTCCAGATTTTCCCCTGGTTCAGATATACGCTTGGGGATTAAAGCTGTGTACATATGCACTTTGGGGTTAACTAATAGGGGATCAGAAGGCAAGTGGAGGTACGCAGTAGGAGTTTCCTTTCTGACAGTGTCACTTTTAAGCAACAGCTAGTGTGGAAATTGGAGGGCTGCTACTGTCCCTACATGTCCCTGTGAAGGAATTGCTTGTCCCACCTAGGAAGAGATTAAGTATCTGTGCTAAATACACGTGTGTGCCTACTAAGGATGTAACACATACTTCCAGATTTTCTGTTGCTTAATCGACACATCAAGACAACCCAATGGAAAAATGCCCACTCTTTTCCTCCTGCATGAGAGTGGGAAATGAGGTCTTTTTTCATTAGCAAATGAATGTGTAATTAGATTTTTTTAAAAAAACCTTCCATTTTGCACACAGTTTTTTAAAGTAGAAAACACCTAATTCTGGTATAAAATGCAAGCTTTTAGTGAAAAAAGAAAAAAAGAAATATAGGGGGTAAAACAGTGCTGAAATACAAAAAATATGCAAGAACTCCTAATCTCACCAAGTGGAGAAAAAAAAACTTTTGCAAGTTTTCAGTTTCACTTGCACAAAGTGAAACTTTACCTACATCATTTCTACTATGTTAGTTACGTCAGCATATTGATTCTGTAGTACAGTTTTATTCTTGTGAATGTCAAGGAGGATACTCCAAGGTTGGATGATGGGAAATATTGATGAAAGGGATCACTGTTGCTCTTGGTAAAGTTGTTACATTATTAGTAAAGGTGGTAACATGAGAGACAGGCGAAATCATCTGGGATTCTACAACAACCAGGGGACTCTCAAGAGTCTCCTCCAGCACCACAATTCAAAAGCATCAATTCTTTGGCAGTGAGCCCACCTCTCACTTCCATACATCGTTACTGGAAAAACCATAGCTTTGACTATGCAGACCTTTGTCGGCAAGGTGATGTCTCTGCTTTTTAAGATGTTGTCTAGGTTTGTCATTACTTTCCTCCCAAGAAGCACCTTTTGGCAAGATCAAGTGTACAATGAAAGTTACTAAAGTAAAAATTGCTTGGATTCATGAATTACAACAGTATTTCCCAATCTGAGGGGGGGGGAGATGTTCTCTTGTGACAACTCCCACAACCTCTGATGACTGGCAGGCTAGTGATTCTGAGAGTTGTACTCCAAAAATATCTTGGGGCCCCAAGTTTGAGAACTACTGCATTAGAGATAATTTAACCATGGGTTGAAGACATTGCTTAGAAGATACTACTAGCATTAAGTACTGTTTCCATCTTTACCATATATCTAATTCTGATCAAGAACTCATTAGGAGGGCTTTAACCCTTCTCTTCCTTAGTTCTAATCATGCAATCCTCCACAGTCCCGATCCAGCAATTTATACGGCACAATAATAATTAAAGCATGTGTTATCCAGTATGATGCAGTAGGTAGAGTAATGCATTCAGACTCAGGTAACATGGGTTTGATTCCCGAGCTCTGGCATGGAAACTCATGGGCAAATGTATGGAACTGGTAAAACTACTCCTTACATACCTCACTTGCCTTGAAAACCCTCTTAGGATCATTATATGTTAGTGCTGACTTGACAGCACATAACATAACACAGTTAAAGCATATGAATTAAGAGTAACTAGCCAAAGACCTGTTGTTTTGCATAGCAAATAGTATTAGTACTTAATTTTGTTCCCAGCGGTTTAGACATTAATGCCTGTGTGTTGCGTTATTTTGAGGGGACAGCACATGAACACTGTTATACAAGCTGTATACTCACTGCTTTACATTGTAGCCAAGAGTCATTTCTTCGATGCTGTCACATGAAAAGATATACTAAAATATGTATGAAATGTGAGGGGGTGTGCTCACTTCTGTGATAATGGCTCGTACAAAGAATTTGCTCTTCCACTCTTCCTGTACACGTAATTTGAAATGCCACCACTGAGCTCTAAGTGGGCAAATTAGGCAGTACACAATTGACCTCTTTCCCCAGAGCCCTTTAGATGCCACACATTCTGCCCCCTAAAAGGCAAAATAATGGCAGGAAAAAAGAAGAAACCAGAAATGGCTAAAAGCCATATACCAGTTGTGAAACACAGGAATCCTCCAGGGTTACACAGTGCTGGGAGAGGGCTGTGTCCAATTCCAAAGGTGAACAGCTATTTCCTGCAGCTTTAATTCACCATTTCTTTTCTGGAAAAAGAGGAGGCTTGGGGAGGGCCAGGTACTGCAGCAGCAGCTGTGTGGGTACATGCATCACCAAGACCACACTTTTCCCACCCCTGACCAAAACGGAGCTTTAACTGTGACTTTAAAATGTGCTCCCTGGGAAATGGCATCTCAGTGTTTCTCTCTCTCCATCTGTAAACCAAAACTTTGTGGGTGTCCTTCCCTTATAATTCCCACCCACTGGGTTAAACCAGTTAGTATGTAGGGGGTCATATATGCACACCCACACAGCAGCTTCCTCATCCCATGTGCTTGCATCCCCTGGGACCTTAGGAAGGGGATAGCTCTGGAGCTTGGATGTGGAGCAGATGTTCAAAGACGTTGGAAGAAGGACTGCTGCTCGCTGGTATATAGTACAGGGTTTGCATGAAGAAGGTCCTAGATTCAGTCCTGAATATCTTCTAGCAGAACTTGGAAACCGTGGTTCTAGACATCTAGGAGAACAGCATGTGCAGACACTGTTGAGGTGGACAAGCCAAAGGCAGCTTCCCATATTGTGAAATCTGGAAGTATTTCACCAAAGAACATTGCTGAAACACAGCCGCCGCCTTTGTAAGTACCAAAAAAATCCACAACTGTTTAGTCTTTTATTCGCTTAAGGAAGGTGACCCAGCCAAAGCTTGGGCAAAGAACAGCTGCGTGAAAATTTATATGGCAGGCCTTCTGCAGGAAGTGAGGAATGTTCCAAAACCAGACCTGTTTTTACCATGGTTTCCTGTGTCATTCTGCAGGACAAAACGTGGTGGTGCTTTTTGCCTGAAGTGACAGACTCCGGGACTAGCGGGGTCTCTGATTACCGATGAAGTGGGCAGTACATTAGTCAGGTCTTCATTTCCTTTGCATAGTCACAGTCACTAAAGATGTTTTCCATGAACACTGTTAGCTGTGCAGAGTAAATACCACATTTAAAAATGGAAAACGATTCATTTTTCTTTACATTGTTGGAAGAAATAACAAGGCCCGGAGAACTTTCAGAGAGTGCCAGACTACTGATTTTCCTTGTACTTCATGCCAAACCAAAGTAGTATGCTTTGGAAGTCTCTTTGTTTTGCTTAGGGGGTCAATACTGTTCAGGATATTGTCAGTTTTCAAAAATTGAGCAGGTAGAATGCAAGAGAGTCACATGTAATATCCCTTGGTTGAATATTAAGATATTCGCAAGCTCTGAAGTTGTGCTGTTTACTGGTCTTAGTAGTGCCATTTCTGTAACTAGACATTTTAAAAAGAAAATTAGGCATTTTAGGCTGGGAATTGTTTTAAATGTAATCACAAGAACATATCATTGTGCCTTCCCATGCCACGAGAAGAACCATTTGAGCTTCCTGCTGTCACTAAAACATGGTGGAGGGGTCTGTGGCTCAGTAGAAAGACTGTGGGGGTAACTCTAGCACAGTAGTAGAACAGATGCTCTGCACGCAGATGGTCCCAGCTTCAATTGCTAGCATTACTTTAAAAAAAAGACCCTTGCTTGAGGGTCTGGAGAACACTGGCCAGTCAGAGCAGACAATTCTGAATTCAATGAACATTTGGGACAACTTTCGGTTTTCCTATTGTTACATTCTCGCAACAAAACACAGTGGTGCCTCGCTTAACGATGTTAATTGGTTCCCAAAAAAACATTGCTATGGGAAAACATCGCTAAGCGAAACACCATTTCCCATAGGAATGCATTGAAAACCGGTTAATCTGTTCCAATAGGAACGGATTACCGTCCTTAAGCGAAGATCCCCATAGGAAACATCGCTAAGCTACACAATGTTTCCCCCTTTGGAATGCATTGAAGCCTATTCAATGCATTCCAATGGTTTTGCGATGTCCGTTTTTGCAACTTTTAAGTGTGTCTTAAAAGGTTCAAAAACAGTTTTAAATGCTTGGGACCGTTAATGCACCTTCTAAACCCTTTGCAAACTTATTTTGGCTTTGTTCTGAGTCTTCGTTAATTTTTGGTGAATTTTCGCCCCCATTGGAAAGCATTGAATTGCAGGTTTGACAGCTGTCAAACCGACAGTTCAATGCTTTCCAATGGGGGAGAAAAAAATTCACCAAAAATTAACGAAGAGTCAGAACAAAGCCAAATTAAGTTTGCAAAGGTTTTGCAAGGTGTACTAATGATCTCAAGCATTTAAACCGTTTTTGAACATTTTAAGACACTTTAAAAATAGCGAAAACTGAACATCGCTAAGCGAAACAGGGGACCTAAAACTGCTAAGCGAGGCAAGGTCCCGAACATCGCTATGAAAAATTTCCCCATAGGGAACATCGCTAAACGGAGCACAAAATCACTCCAAAAACCTCATCGCTAAGCGAATACATAGTTAAACGAGGCAATCGCTAAGCGAGGCACCACTGTATCTAGGTCGGGAATAAGTAATTGGTAGCTCCAAAGGTTGTTGGACTGCAACACCTGTGATCTCTCATTGTTGGCTGTGTTAACTAGAGATGGTAAGAGTTCTAGTCGAAACGACTAGATGGGTGGGATAGAAATGTAATAAATAAATAAATAAATAAATAAATAAATGGTTCAACAGTGAGTGAGGGGCCACACACTTGAGCCAGGTCCATGTTCATATCTCTCCAATACTGAGCAATTGCATTCTGAAAAGAGAAACACTATGTACTTTGACAAATGTTCCAGTGCCAATCACTGCTCTGGAGAAAGTTC